AAATTACAACAGATAGGAAATAATATGATAAAGAATGGGGCACGACAAGATATATATAAACTGAAAAAAAATTCATTCGAAAATTCGAAGGAAAAAAGTTCATTTATGAAGTCCTGAGTTATAAAGCGATGTTCATACATGATCACCAGATTAGACTAGATAGAATAAACAATTCACTATATCGCGATTTCTTTTCTTGCATGGGAACAAAATCACAAGAGATAAATAATAAGGCGTCTGAAAAAAGAATTGAAACGCTGATTATTCGATGAGCCAGTTACAATATGTAACTTGGCCTATTGTTTGGCTTAGATGTCGTCAAACGGCTCCACTGGCGGAGGTAGTGGTAGTCAATTTTTCATGCATCTGGTATAAATGTGGGTTGCTAGAAAAAACAGCAGAATCCGACTGATGTGAACTTTGATGAAATGCGCGATGATCCTGATGAGGTGGAGCGTGGTAGTCTGTGAGAATTGTATCGATTTTAACAGAACCGGTACTGGAGTCGCCACGAGTCTCCAAATTGCGATTCAGAGATAGATCGATAGCCATGCAGGAACTTGACTGCAGTTGACTGATGCTGGAGTACTTTGAATATTTTCTGCTCCACAATGCTAAAATAAGATTACGTATCCACAAAAAAACAAATAGAAATAAAGGATAATTGCAAAAGCTTTCCTGAGGCTAATAATCGATCTACATAAAGCCTAAGTATTGAATTCAAACAGACTATCACACTTGGCTCCAGAAAATAAGGTTAACATCACATCGCTAAGGTTACAAATTAAGCCCCAGTACCGTAGTCATCGAGAGAATGTGATTGAGGGTAAATGGAAAAGCAACTAATTATATGCCCATATTAATTAATACATTTTGCTCTTTTATTAGGAATGCTGAGGTTGGTTTAAATAGGAGGGCTATGGAAAGCCATTCAATCAGCTAATATAATGATACTCGATAAGGTGAACTGTAAAGGCGTGATAGTAATCGTTAAAAAGAACTAATCAAAGAACCAAAATAGTTACAAAGGCTTCTAGTGATTAAGAAATAGATTTCCCAAATCGAATGATACAAGCTATCGGCAAAGCTCAAAGCTAATAAGAAATAAACGTGGCCTTAACAATACTTGACATTAATAAATAAGAATCTTTAACTTACCAGATGACGATGAGGGAGCACCTGAAATGACATTTCCCTTGTGCTTAGATCGAACATGCCTTCTCAGATGAACGTCATAAGAGAAACGAGCAAGGCAAATCAGACATTGATAAGATTTTATGCCTAAATGATCAGAATTCTTTATTTTAATTACCTTCGTGTACAGCTTCAACGTGGCGCTTGAGGCTAGACTTTTGCGAAAACCTTTTACCACACATACGGCACTCATAGGGTCGAAGTCCTGAAAGGTTTTAAAACTATGCCAAGTACCTTTATGTACAGCGTCAACGTGCTTTTGGAGATCCGAATTTCTCGAAAAGCCTTTGAAGCAATGAGGGCATTCAAAAGATTTAACGCCTAACAATAAATAAAAAACGATTGTACCTCTATGAACCGCCTTAATGTGAGAATTAAGGTTGCAGCTTTTTGTGAACACCTTTCCGCATGAATTACAAGCTAAAGATTTAGATTCTGAAAGTTTTCGATAACAGTTAATGTCGCATACGGGAGAAGGTGTCTTCTTTTGGACACAAAGCTTCGTTCTTGATTTCAGCAATCAAACCATCAGGCTTTATTTCATCTTCTTCTGAAAGTTGTTAGTTAAAAGGCAAAGTTACCCTCATGTGCTGCTTGGAAATGTTTGTGAAGAAGTCGCTGGTTAGGGAATGTTTTACCACATAGACAACAAAGGCAAACGAGATCTCCTTGGAGATATCAAAATAAATTAGCAAACCATCAAATAATTCGCTCGCTGTCTCTATGGAGGTATAATCCATCGAAATGTATGATGTGCGTCGGGGGATCAAGGCAATAACAAAACATTCGAAGCAGTTGAGATAGGAGTTTGGAGAACACGAGATTAAGATTCAAAATGATGTCTACAATAGTCTAAAATTATTAAGATTTATACTTTATGATTATTCTAGGCCAACAAAGGCTAGGGCACTTGTCGAAAAGTCACCGTCATCCGAAAACAAGTGAGAAAAACAATGGGAAGGGATAATCACGAAGGCCGCGTCGTGACCCGACAGTAGTTATAAAGTAAAAAGTGGATTTCCCCATTTTTATTTGTTATTAGAATTTATGTAAGAAAAAAAGAGTAAATCAAAAATTATTTCGTTGGATCAAAGGCAACCTTTCTTAATAATTATTTTGGTAATATAGATTCAATGCATGCACGTCACGGAAATTTATTCCTTTACTGTAACTAGCAAATATATCCCTTGAAACTTCCAAGTTTGTAAATTTGTTATAGTTAATTAACCATGTTAATCTGTTATCGACTCACGAACAATTTAGTATGCATATATACCCATAAAGTAATATCTTTACTAGATACAGAGTCTTTAAACATGCATATTTTACCTTTTTTGAGAGAAGGCATGACGGTAAAATTAGGACATGGGAAAAGGTCTCCGTCTGTCTATCTATCTTTGACTAAAT